TTTTCAACTGGCTATCATGACAGCATATTCCAGAGCCACATCAAGTTCAACATGTCCAAATATAAAATCTACGCCCAGAAACCTTTTTTGTGTTTCTCATCTCAAATAACAGAATGTAGTCTTTGTATCTTTTCCCAATCTCTGCTTTATCTTCTGGAAACCACAATTACTAAGAACATAGAGCCCTTGTCCACAGGGCAAGTATCAAGTCTCTGGGATAGGAGTAAGGGAGAATTAAAATGCATCAAGGATCTAATAGAACATGAACTTGTTGCAGCCTTTCATATACATTGTGGAGTCAGTATCTGTAATATCAGTCTGTACTAATCATAGTCATGCATCACTTAATGATGGGGATATGTTCTCATAAATGAGTCGATAGGCAATTTTGTCACTGTGTGAACATCACAGAGTGTACTTACACAAACCTAAAAGATATAACCTACTACACACCTAGGCTATATGGTACTAATCTTATGGGACCACCATTGTATGTGCAGTCTGCCATTCACCAAAACGTTGCTATGTGGTGCATGACTGTATAAACAGGGAATATAAAACTTCTGAAGATTGTTGAAATTTTATGTGTTTAAAAAGGAAAACAATCACTATCCTGCTAATCTTCTATTTACTCATTATGCTCCAGTCACAGTAAATCTCTTTTAATCCCTTACATGCTTTTTCCCACCTCTAAGATTTTGCACAAGCTTTTCTTTATGCCTGAAATATTCTTCCCTGTCGCTGTCAGCTTTGCCCTGCAATTTCCTAATCATTTTCAACATTGGGTTCAAAAGTCATTTTCTCAGAAAGACCTTCTATAACTAAGCTAAAGCCCACCCATTTTTCCTAATTTCACCCTGTGATTTTTCCATTTTAGCACTTATCACACTTTCCAATTATATGTCAATCTGTGTATTTTCTTATTTAAGCATATATCATCTACTAGGTTGTAAGCTCAGTGAGCACAAGTATCATGTCTTTTTTGTGTACGTGTCTGAGGAAGATTGGCCCTGAGCAAACATCTGTTGCCAAGCTCCCTCTTTTTGCTTGAGGAAGGTGGTCACTGAGCTCACATCTGTGCCAATCTTCCTCTATTTTGTATGTAGGACACCATCTCAGCATGGGTTGATGAGCGGTGTGTAGGTCCGTGCCTGGGATCTGAACCCGCGAACTCCAGGCCACTGAAGTAGAGTGTGCAAACTTAACCACTATGTCACTGGGCTGGCCTCATGTCTTTTTGTTTAAACTTCTATAAAACTACTGTTTAGCACAGTGTCATGCACAGGGTCAGTTACCAAAAAATGTGTTGAGTAAACGAATGCTTTAATAGTCTATATTTATATTGTAGCCAATAGCCACATGAGGCTATCTAAATTAACATTAATTAAAATTAAGTAATATTAAAAATTCAGTTCCTTGTCCATACTAGTCATATGTCAACACTAAAAGCCACATGGCTAGTGTGTTGGAGGGCAGAGATATAGAACTTCCCATCATCGCAGAAAGTTCTATTGGACAGCACTAGTGTACACTAAGCAATTAATAAAGGAGTGGTAATAAATTAAGGGCTTTTTAGAAATCTACATACAGACTCTATCTTAGAAATATCTCTTGAACTTACCCTTATCTATTCATTCCTATTTTCTTTAGGGAACCACCCTACAGGTCTCCTAGTCACAAATATTTCTTAATCCAGATGGATTCCTCAAATTACTGCTAAATATATCTACGTATCACATCACTTCTTTGCCTAAAAGCATTTATAACTCCCCACTGTCTACAGGATAGAGTTTAAACTCCTTAACATGTAAATAAGACTTCTTATCTTCCAACTTACCAATCCAATCTCAAATGATATTGCCCCCCATACATATCCCTAAGTTCCACTTACAAGATTTGATGGTTCTTAAACAAAATACTCTGTCACAAAGCTGCCTAAAATTCCTATCTTCATTTCCTTTCCCTGGAGCAGCCCTCCTCCTCCTGCAGGACTCAATTTTGGAGCTTCAGTGAATGTGTAGAGTTCTCAGTTCCAACTTCTATCACATTATATTGTGATTATCTGTTTATATCTCTATTACCCTCACTGTACTGTGAGGTTTTAAAGAAAAGAGAGAGTGGCTTACTTATCTCCTAGTGTCCAGTGTACTGCATTTTGTGCAGAACTTATATTTTATTGTTGTTATTGAAATAATGAAATGATAAAATAATGAATGAATAGGTTACAAAATTGAAAAGACTCATTCATATTCTCTAAACAATTTTTTACTCATTTTTTGTAATTTTTGCGTACTTTCAAAATCTCCTCCCCACCAATCACTGTATACTACTCAGTCTAATAGTAATAAGTGTGACAGGTCAATAAAACAACTTTTACTTTAGTAGCTGAAGAGGTAGGGAGCTCTTAAATTGTCAAACGTTTTGCATTGGGCTAAAGGTTATCAGTTAAAAATGAAAACAAATAAGAAAAAACAATAACAATAAGAACAACAAAACCTGAATACTTCCAAATAAATAGGTACTGTGGGACTATCCTGGTGGAACAAACAGTAGGAAGGATTTCCGTATTGCTGAAAAGCTTTATAAAGCCAGTAAAGTGTACACAGTTAACTCTTCATTCTCTCTAATACGATCTCTTCCTTCCTTCTTAAATCTTTGCTTATATCAATCAAATGCCATTTTGTTTCATAGCATAGACATACATTCTGTTATTATTTGTTGAAAATAGAAAAATAATATTATAGTAACCCTATGGGTTTAAAAAATGAAACAGAGAGGAATAATATGTTCCAAATAATGTCAGAAGGATGTTTTTCTTATGTGAAAATAATATACAACAGCAAAAATAATGATGCTGAATAGCCGTTTTTAAATTAAACTTGTTATTCTCTTGCAGCACATAACATTTTTTAAAAGATTTCAAGTCATTTTTAATCTTGTCAGTGAAATCTCTACTGAGAAGTGCTCACTTTTTCCCCACACTTTAATCCTAAATTATTAAGTAAAGTTAAAAACATAGGCAGGGTATGCTGCAATTAAGAAATTACAAAGATGCATTTAGAAACAAATATTGTAAACATTTGACCAATGGGTGATATGCATAGTGAGAAATTCTGAAGACAGTGCTATCTGAAAACAGTGATTGAGTAAAGAAATAGACTAATGTGAGTAGAACCTCTGTTCCATCTATTTTTAAAGGAAATTCATCCATCACGTCCTTATTTGATCTCACAACTTGCTAGCTTTTTATCCAAACACAATAGCATGACAAAATCTTGCTCTGTGGTCTCAGAGGTTTTTGTGGTGGGAAGACTCATGTACTACAATCCTCTCTGCTTTTTCAGTTCTACAGGAGTTTGTTTATAATTTAAATAAAATATCCCATGGCTGATACTTAAAAGTTTAGATTATATTTTTAATATAGAAATTTATAAATGGGCGACTAACTTTTTCTTTAATATATTTCTCCACCTCTAAGAATAACTTTCAGTATATTTAATAGTAGAGGAAGAACACTACTTTGTTATAAATGAATTTCTATCAAATAGCTAAGACCTATCAAGGAATAAGTATTAAACTGGTTCACACAACACCCATTTGTTATATATGTTCATCAGGCAGTCATTCTTGAAATACATTTAATTGATTATAAATCTCTTATGACATATTTAAGGTAGCTCATTTTTACAAATGATGTCAATCCACAGCACAGCTTTTCAGGGTCGAGAAACTGCTGTTTTAAGGCATGCTTCCATACACGAACACACTACAACTACTCCAAACAATGGCCGTTCATCTCTAGGCGAGAGGCTTCAAGAGAAATTACTGTGAATTTTTAGACTCTGAAAGAAAGAGGATGCTTTTTAGAGAATCTGTCCCCTGCGGGTGAAGGGATCAGTGGGAGACAGTTTTACTGGCTAGGACACTAGGTAAAGAATGCTCTGCACTCACAAGTTGGCCTCATTCAAAAGCCATGCTTTCATTAGCACTTTTAAGTGCAATGATGGTTTGTATTTCTGTCCCTGAAAGTGATCAAAACCCTGAGGGCGCAGATGGAGACAAAAAGTGATAGGCTCAGATGGAAGGAATGAAAAGTTTGTACAAGACTAAAGAAAGATTCCCGCTTAGAGTATTTATTAACTTTACAGCTCTTCCTCTTAATAATTGAGTTTACACTGAAAGTGTCTATTTAAGAAATGTTACTTCAGTGAAGACAAACCTAACTTTTCAAAAAATAATACACTAAAGTCAAAAGTATGATTCCAGTAGCATTATTAGTCGATAAAGCTTGTATTCACTCAAATGAGAACTTTGATGGCATAAAATGGAAGTGTCTCATAGAGTTTCTAGTTTTCCTGTAATCTACATAAAATGGCAATATTAAACAACTAATTACAATGTTCTTTAAAATAAATACTTTGCATTTTGGTTTGTTTCCTTTTTTCCTCTTTAGCCCATTTTCTCTCAGACTGTAATCTAGATTAATTTCTAAAAATATTTATTGTAATAATACTATAACCATATTTTCAATTTATTTGGTAAAAATAAGTAATTTTACATGTGTGATGTGTATTTTGATAAAAACACAAGATGTGATTCTGTTGGTGCTTAAGTTATTCTAGTGATTACACTAAGATGCTTTCAATTTCAAAATAATCTTACAAAAACATTTTAACCTCTATGGATTAGGACAATGTGGCAATCTTATCAAGATAGCAGTAACTAGCAAAGGTTTAGCCTCTCAATAAAAGGTGCAAGCTGCCAAAGAGATCTAACTCACATTTGGGCAACAGTTCAGGCACTGGAAAAATAAACTTTAATACTGGAAAAATTTGAACCATTTTTTCTTTTTACTTTTGGACCTCAAAAATTATACATGTAAAATAGTATGAATTTATCCTACCACTTACGAATAATGAGCATTAACTTTACTTCAACATTACATGGTTAATTGTTCATACATATACATAGATGCCTTAAATGAAATAAATATATCTTGCCTTACAAACTCTTCCAACTCGAGAAAGGATGGTTTTATCAGAAGTACTGCCTTCTTGAGATGACTCACGAAAGAAGAAATATATTTTATCATCATCTGGATTATAGGTGTCTGGTATGGGGAAAGTTCCAATAAACTTTGCTCCTGTTTGAAAGAAAAGAAGCTATAAATTAAAATACTGAAGTAATTCAGCCATGATAATACTGGTGTCTTTTGTATGTAAAACAATTAGCAGCAGAATAAATAAAATTAACCATGAGTAAAATGTGGAAAATGAGATGTGCATACAAATAAACATGATGCAGTGTGGAAACAAGCATTACCACGAAGAGGTAATGGAAGAGGTAACAAGACTGGCTAACATTCACAATGGTTACAACTCAACTAACTTAACTAAGAAAGTCTTTTCAAACCTGGAGATTCTAGGAGCTTATATTTTCCTTTTATGTGGCGGAGTCACTTTTTTTTAACCACAATGTCTATTATCAAGAGCTTAGGAAAAACTATAAATATATCCCAAATTTTAATATATTATGATGTTATTTGCTGCATTTTGTGTAATTTCCAAAGGTAAAAAAATTGGAGCAACCAATAGGACTTGGGTCGACTCCAGAGTAGGCTCTGGAGACACTCTTTCCAGCTTTCTATCCTGTCTCTGCCACTTACTGGGAGAGTGACCTTAGGCAAATCATTTACCTTCCCTATGCCTCAATTTTCTCGTATCCAAGACAAGGCTATGAATATCATCTACCTAGTAGGATAACTGATATGATAAGCAAGTAAATTAATGCTATATAAACCATTTATATCTGGCAGTGCCTGACACATAATAAGGGTTCAATAAATACTATTTATTATTAAGATGATGATTGGGATGACAATCATTATTATGATTATTATGACCACAAACAAGAGAATGATGGACAATTGAGCACATGCATACAATTGTAAGAATATGTAATTGTTAAAAATGAAGTAGTTCTAACTCTGTAGGCATGGAAAAATGTCCATCATACATGCTAAGTGAAAAAGTATTTGCAATACAATTGACACCTTTGCGTGGCCCCAATGACGAGTCAATTTGGCTTACTAATTTCTTGTTTAAAATGTACTAGGCATTTTAAGTCTTGGTTCTACATAATTGTGAATTAACTAGGTAACAGATCTGTAATTGGGTAATTGAGTGATACTAGTTCAAAAATAATCCTTTTGATAAAGCAAAGAAAACAGAGAAAGAGTGGTTATTCAGGAAGGAAGGGAGGACTTCAATTAAGAAGAAAATGTGAAACATCTGAAAGGAAGCACACAGCACTGTTTAGGAAGTAGATGCAGAGGACAAAAGACGACAGAAAGTTTCCACAAAAAAAAGAATAAGTGGGAGACGAAAAAGATCAACATTACCACCTTCTCTAGAGAAGAGTTTTGCCTAGAGCCCTGATTGCTGTGTACCCCAGAAGTATTGAAAATCATCCCCCTACAAATGTACAGCAGTTGATCAATAGCCCAGTAAACAAGACTTCACAATAGTCTTCTTCAATAGACAAAAGTTAATGTTTGATTTCAAGAGATGGGTAGTTCAGTCTGTATCAGCCCAGCCTCTCCGGGTCAACCCTGGGTCTCCCATCCAATCTCTTCTTTCCTTAAATGGGAAACCCTAAGAGGAAAAGAGAAGGGGTAAATATGTGTATGAACTTTCTCTCCTTTGTTCTTTATTATTTCCCTGGAATTTAGGACTCCAATGGATTCTTATGCTCCTGATAATCTCATTTGTTGAAATGGTCGTAGATTACATAAAAATTAAAGTTTAGAAAACCATGTATTTTTTTAAATTTTCTTTTTAATTAATCTTAAATTAGCAAGGTCCACTAACAATTCTACTCGAGGCTTTTTGGTTATTTTTTTCCCTTCAGTCCCTCTTTTAAATTGTTGATGAATCATAAACACTAGATTTTGAATCCATGAGCACAGTAAAACTTTTTTGTAGTCACAAATTATCACTTCTAATTTTTGATTTAAATATATTATGTTTTCTTAAAAAAACTCCTTGTGGAAACAAATTTTCCTACAAATGTGGCATTGGGGATTTCAGTAAATTCATGAAAGCAAAGAATATATTTAATTACTACTATATTCAAGGCACTTAAGAAATACTGCTAGGATCAAATAATACAAAAATGAGTAAGAACTGACTCATCACTTCAAACCAATTATAATCTGGATTAAGAAAATATTAAGATATGGCCAAGATATGGCTAAGGAGAAGGCCCAGTCTTGATGTTTCCAATGATGTGAAAGGAGACCACAACAATGAATAGGGAAAAAGACAACCAACTGTGGGCTCCCACAGACATAGGCCAAGCATTAGTAACAATCTATAGAACATTTTTGAATTTACAGATGCCTAAATTCAATGCCACCAACCTGGATGAAAATCTCCAGCTGCACTGGCATGTGTATTTTAAAAATATAGAAATACAAAAATAAATAAAACCTTATAGGTGATTCTTAAAAGCATCTAAGTTTAAGAGTTACTAATATAGACTACCATTTAATATATGGGAAAAAGGATATAGATAGGACTCATTAACCCAAGGTTAATAATGCAGATGCATGGATGGACAGGGGGAGTTAGGACTGATAATAAATACAAATTCTTAAGTAATTACAGTGGGACAAAAAAGGGAGAAAAATGAAACTATACAGAAATTATAGGAATATGATTAGCTTGTCTTATCTTAACAAATATGTGAGTTTAAAATGGGGAGTAACACAAGTAGAACTTATCATGGCACTTAAACATAATTTAAGTAGTTACACATGCAGCATGATGACCCATGTTAGTATCCTATCAGACCAACTTAATGATTGAGTTGAATTTATAATTTTAAAAATAACATAGTGGTACAAAATTTACACAATCGTTTCTCCCCAGAGAGGAGATGAGAACTCAGTGATCTGAAACAGAAAATCATCACAGGTTAAGGAATTCCAGTGTGAGGGAGAGTTCTTGTGAAGCTTTCCTCAGACACTCAGATGGGAGAAGTGGTTACACGAGCTAATTGTTAGGGCTTCACTTGTGTACAGAGTTCAACAAAAGAAACACAATTCTACAACACAGCAGAATGTACACTGTCCAAAAGGAATACAAATAAATACAGCAATCCATATTCTCCTATTGCAGAAATACACAGAACAAGCTACTTTGCATATGCGAAACATTATCCAGGTGTTGCCAGGTATTACCATTTGAAATGGTCAAAAGGTAGAGTATGACACCAGTCCACATTCTAGGAATTTCATTTAAGACATTAATGGGGGAAAGTAGAGTAGATACCTTTCCAAGTTGTATTTATTTTAACTTTCAACTAATATATAACATAGATGGTCTTGATGTGTTTATTCAGTGACTGTTGGTTTTACTGGACTCTCTTTTAAATGTTGCTTCTTTTTCAAGTACTACAAGAAAATTATTTTGGAGTACTGTAAGAAAATTGAATGATGGAGGTGTTTAAGCCAAATGTTATTACAGGAAGAAATCTAATTATGAAAAAAGAGTTAGTATCAAATAGTACTGTATTCTGTGGTTTAAATAATAAGCATACTTGTGAGCTAAAAATAAATACAAGTTTCAAGAATAAAGAGTTTCTTTCTTGCAGATTCAATTGAGGTCCTGCCTCAGAACATTGCTGGTTGTATATTATGATGAAAACTCTTTCCTGACTTGCTGCCAAGTTTTGGTAAAAATAGGTATCATTCAATCACTGTATGCGACGCATAGTTGCTGAATTAAATAATTTAAAATCATACTAATAGACACCTGGGATTTATTATAGCACATTTCTCCCCTTTGGCATTTGAAATACATGCCCTAATAGGGATGGAGTTTGAAATCATGCATTTTCACAAATGAACTTTTAGCATGACACCCAGAGTCCCTGCCAAATGAAAATGGCATAAATCCATGTGGCTTGCAGTACCCATCACTTTCATTTCTCCCTTTGAACATCTTTTTACCCAGATGAGCATACCTACACCATGACTTAATACAGTGAGCTCTTTACTTTCCTGTATTTCTAGTAATATCTTTTTCCTACCATTTTTGAAAAATGTTATCCTTTTGTGTGGAGGAAGAATTTATATACAACAGAGCACTCTTAAGAGAAACTTTAAATGAAAACTGCCTCCATATGTTAAAAATGAACATTTAAAATAAAAGTTCTCATCTACTCCAGGAAAGAAAAAAAAAACACACATGCATCTGAGGTGTCATTGTTTGTTCTCATTTTCCAAATGGTCATACTTTTTAGTTTCATCCTAAAATTCTCACAAAAACTCAACTGTGAGTAAACCACTCTGACTCGTATCTTTATTTCTATTTCCTGATATGTTCCAAGATTAAGTTGATAAAGAAAACTGTGAAACCATCTACATCTTCATCTAGAACTTCCCATTGTATTTCATTTTTGCAATGTTTCATCCTCCTGGTGAGGTATTTAATAGGTGGATTACTTTCTCAAAGAATGAATCGGGATTCATACTTAAGTCTTTTGGATTTAAGTCCTAGGGAAATTCTGACAAGGATCCTTGGACTGGTAAGTGAAGAGGTTAGCTGATCTCACTCTGGTTAATTCTAGGCAGGGCAAAAACCAAAATATGGCATACTCACAAGCGTCAAGGATTTTAAACTTCCTAAGTGGTTCAGTGATAAAAACGGACTTATAAAAGATTCACATAGGATCATATTTTTTAAAAGATTAATTATTAAAATTTGCATCTTAGTGACACCCAATTGTAAATTTAATTTAATTTTTATATGTCACTTAATCAACAGTCACTTAATCTAGACACCTGGGCTTTATTATAGCACATTTCTCCCCTTTTGCATTTGGAATACCTGCCCTAAAATGGATGAAGTTACGGTTTTGGTTAGGGTTGGGGTAATGTAAATATAATGTAAAAATCAATTTACATTTACAAGAGTTTAGTTCATCACAGAATGTAAAAAGTAGAATTTTAAACTGAAAATGAAAGTACAGAGATTAAAATTTAACAGAAAAAAATTCTCAAACTGTCTAACCTGAAATAAATGATACAATGATGTAAAAATATATGGGAGAAACTAATCAGACATTGACATTGACCCTATTATTTGAAATATCAAATAACTGTCAGTTCTTTCAACCTGGCAACAATGTTATGAAACCTAGGAGTGAGTTTCACATTTACACACTAAACGAATAGTCAGGAAAATCTACATGTGTTACACTATGTGATTGTGGGCTATTGTACCTAATTAGTAAACAAGTACACTTTAGACCAGTGCTGTCCAATAGAAATTTCTGTGTTGATGAAAATGTTTTATATCTATGCTGTCCAATATGGTAGCCTGTGGCCCACACGGCTATTAAGTACTTAAAATACGACTAGTGTGACTAAGGAAGTAAATTTTAATTATTTACATTTAAATAGCCACATGTGGCTAGTGTAGCCTTAGAGCAGGGAGCCTGTGTCAGTAACTGCTATGTCAAGCCCAGTGATAAGTAAGAAACAGAGTCTTTATCTCCATAACTGCAACCAAAATGACAGTCAAGCTTCCAGATTCAGGAGACATGATATGCTACTCTTCTCAGAAGTTTCGTATTGTAACGGAAAGATGGGCCTAGCAATCAGGAGACTTGAACACATCCTGTCTTCATATGAGTCTCAATTTGTAAAATATGAAGTTGAATGTTGAAGATAACATTCATTCCCAATAATCACCATAGTTCCTCTAACAACCACTGTATTTTGTCTCCCCATACTCCTGACACTAGTCAGATGACTTCCGTGACCTCTGTCTTTGGATGCTAGGATGACTATATCTGGAAAATGGCCACTTCTCAGAATGGAGGACAGAAACGCTCCCTATGCAAGCCAATCTTTCACCTTAGCATGTCAGGTACTTCCTCACTACAAGATTCTCATACAGTTTCTATAATTTATCCCTTCCTCTGCCCTAGTTTCCATGCCAAGAAGCTCCTGATTGACTGGGCCTTCTGAAGCATTGTGCTCTTCTCATTCCAGCCTGCCTGTCCCTCAGCAAATGTCTGACCTAATGCTGGCACCAACCCTGACTCCAGCTGGACCACCTAGGTCTTCCACATTGCCTGCCTAACCACACTTTCTCTATCTGTCCTCGTCCCCACAATCAGATCCACATCCTCAGTTTGCTGTTGCCCAATAAGACATGGAGACACAGACCCTGTTTGTAGTGAGGCTATAAGAGCAGACGATGTACAGTCAAAAGAGTAGAATTTAGGTTCATGGATTGTATCATACAACGCAAAAAGTATCTAGAGCAAGAAAGACATACCTGAGTTCCAATCTCACATCCACTAGCTATCTAACTATGGACTATTTAACTGACTTTTAATCTATCCCCAAATGTAAAGTGGACATAGTAATTCTCTCAGGATTATACCAGTGAATAAAACAATACTTTTAAAGTGCCTAATATAGTGACTAGCATGGATGCTATATAAAATGAATTTGAAGCACAAGAGACTAGAGATAGAGAAATTATTTAACAAACAATAACATTGTGGCAATAAGCCAGAGGTGCGGTGATGAAGACGTATAGGAAGATGGCGGCCATGGAAAGAACAATAATAGATATTCTGAAGGAAGTAAAGGCTCTTTGTGATACATTAGATAAAGGGGATAAAGGAGAGGAAGGAATCAAAGATAACTTCAAGGTAATTGGGTGGATGAAGTTAAGAAAGTTAAGAGACAAAAATCAGGAAACCGGCACTGAAAGGCAGGTTAGAAAGGGAAAAACAATATAATTTTTAGTTAGATTCACAGGATTTTCGATTTTAGATCCAATTAGTCTTTTATATATCTATATCTGTACCTCTACATATTTGAAGAAACTCAAGCAAAGGATCATTAAACCACTTAGAAAAATCTCAAAGCATATCAGTGGCACAATCAAGGCTAAGGCTTAGTTATCTTTATTCCCACATTAAACAACCAGTTTCTTTCTTTTAATCTGAGATGAAAATGTAAGATATCCAAATAAATATTTTTAAGGGCACTTAGTTACAGGAAAAAGTTAGAAATATAATTTTAGGCAACACTGGAACACTGGAAACAATTGAAACGTTTATCTATTAGAATGGATGAGCTCACAGAATAATGAATGGAAAGAGAGAGAAAGAAAAGGTGGTCAACACTTTAAAATGCTAAATAGATGTCAGAGAATCACAGAGCATTCAGGGTTTTGGTCCCACCTCCTACCTCCCTCACTTTCAGGAATAATGATAATGATGGTGATGATAATATTGACACTGAATTGCTCTTAAAATTGTCTTCCATCAGACTTCCCTATATGATCTAATTTAATCCTTACAACAATCCTGTGAACAGATACTATTATCATGCTAAATTTTTAGACAAAGAATTTGCATGCACAGAAAGATCTCACCAAGGTCACAATTAACTGAAAGTCAGGATTTAAACTAAATTTCACAGAAATGGAGCTATAATTTTTGTCTAAACTTGGACACTTTTGAGAATTAAAGAACAGCAAAAGTAACCTAGAAATGTCCAGCAAACCAGGCTATATAGACCCCTGGTTATTAACCACTAAACAGTCTGCCTTGCCTGTCCTAGAATCATAAATGTTATTTCTCCTAATTCTTAATCATTTGCCTGCATTCACTCCATTGAGACATCTTTTACTGTGTATCCTTTCTCTGGCCTTCAATTTCTTCCTTTCTACTGACTTCTTTATTTGGAAAGTTTTCCCAGTATCCAAAGTCTTCTCTTGAATTCTTCCTCATATCCTTGGATTCTTCTATTCCAAACAAACATCTTCTATTTCAAATATCCATTGCTGTATATTCTCACGTCCACCTCCATTGCCACTACCTCTATTTCTGTCCCATCCTCATCTTTCTGTTTTCGTGCAATGGCCTCTGCTCTCTGTCTTCATTCTCCTGGAGTCTTGCCTTCACGATACTGTCAGTTACCTTTATAAAAAACAATGATCTTATTCCTTGACTAAGATCAGGGAATGGGTGAAGGGGATCAAAAGATATAAACTTCCAGTTATAAAATAAATAAGTCATGGGGGTATAACGTACAGCATGGTGACTACAGTTAGTAATACTGTCTTGCATATTTGAAAGTTGCTAAGAGAGTAAACCTTAAAAGTTCTCATCACAAGAAAAAAAATTTTGAACTATGTATGATGATGAATGTTAACTAGACTTATTGTGGTGACCAAATATAGAAATATCAAATCATTATGTTGTATAACTGAAACTGATATAACATTATATGTCAATTACACCTCAAAAATATAAAAAAAAAAGAACTAAACTATAGATAACTTCCCATTTGTTTCAGGATAATATTTACGGCCTTGCACACCAATCTCCCACTCTCTTCTTATACTCCAGGCATTCATCATCCATGAAGTCAGCAAGCCTCCTGTATAATCTTTGCAGGTCCAATGGGTAAAATAGTACTCAGTATGCCATAGGCCCTCAAAAGTTGTCTGTTAAGAGAATGTTAAACCAACTCAAAGGCTCTCTCCTTTGTAATTCTCATCACACAGCACTAAGAACAGCATGCTAGGCAAATAATAGTTGGATAAACATTTCCTACATTTATTGTTTTAGCAATGCTGCAAACTTCTTTATGGACATCTCACAGTTAAGGAAAAAAACAGAATAATCTCTGAAAAGAGTGGCAATATGATGATATTTGCCATCCCAAGATTGGGAAATACAATCTATACTTCATTCTAAAGCCATAAGTATATCTTGTTACCTAAAAAGATATCTAAGCTTTTCTATCGGTAAAATCTATGGTGTCACTCTCAAACCAAGCATTTCCACAAAAACCTCACAATGCTCAAGAAGATAGTCTTGCCTTACATGAGTATTAGGAAAGTAGTGAGTAATCATGTAGTTGGGAATATTCTAAATTTGTTTTCCCCATTAGGTAGAGTTCTTTTTTGGCCAATAGCCATCACATTGATGTGTAAACAAACGGATCTGGAGGTTTTGACTAAAGAAATGTTTTAAAAGTGTTTTTCCCCTTTGTTTACATTGTTACTACTTAAATGATACTGAGAGATACAGAGATAGTCCCTAAAAAATCTCTACCCTGGCTTCCTCCACTAAAACTCAGTATTTGTTGCGGGAATGAGAAATGCTGTCTGCGTGCTTAAATAGCAATTATGTTATTCTGCCATGAAATGGAATAAAGTCCTATGTTAATTAGAAAACATTAGGAAATCATGACAAAACAACCTGTTGTAAGGCAGTGGGGAAAAAAAAAAGCCTTGCATTATTCCTTGAATTACATAAATTCATTTAGGAGGAAGTTTTTTTGAAAACTCAAAATACTGTATAGCCCCTAAACAAAAAGGTAATAGACAAATTAATGCCAATATTAATATGCTTAAAATTTTACAAAGACATATCTTAACCCAAACATAAATTATCTTTAAACAAAAGAAGTTAACAGTACAATCTAACCCCTTTCCATTAGGCTAATAGACAGTACTTGGTTTAGGCCTTAAAAACCAGACTGCAGGAGAAAGATTGCCAACTTGAACCCCAGCTCTGCACTAACAAGTTGTAAGACCTTGACCAATTACTCAACTTCGACCTCAGTTTACTTATCTTTAAAAAGCACATAATAATAACATAGACCTCATATGTCATTTTGAATACTAAAAAACTCAATTACAGCATAGAATAGTTTCATGGACAATAGCCCACACTCAATAACTGTCAGCTATTATTATTATATAGACAACAGGTTCTGGAGATTTGTCTTAGTGGGGAATTATTTCAAATGTATTTTATAATGTTGAGCTAAATTGCTTATCCTCAAACACATTGGAATGGATAATAATGAGTTTCTTATCTACCCAAAAGCAAAGACAAAACAGTAAAAAGTGAGAAAATCACTAACCATTGAGCCAGTAGTGCTCTGAAATGTCAGTTCTGATGTAATGGTGGTCGTGAGTAGGCCCAAGGGACCGTGTGAATGCAGTATCTTTGCCAAGGAAATCAGAAGCTGTTCCAGAGTAGAGGTACTCATCTGGGAGGGAGAAAAGAATACATAGGACTTCTAAGAGTATACCAGCAGATACTATTTACAACACACTAATTTCACAGCATGAAACCAAAGAAGTTTATTGCTTAACATCAGAATATATTGTTTCATAAACATCACTTTCAAATTTTGAAAAATTTGTTTAGTTGAAGAAAAGATAACTCAATGAACTTTGGTAAGCTGATGTTAGAAGCTTAAATACTAAAAAAGCCAAAGTATTCTGAATTAATAATTGCATATAGGTTAGCTTCTCTTATGAATAACTTCTTCTTCTTTCCCTTCTCCCCACAAATAATTCAAGGATACATCATCATTAGGATTTCCTCTTTGTTGCAACACAAAAAAACATTAAAACGTAAATGCCATAATGAGGAATAGATTCTGTAATTAGTATTTACTTAACCGACACAACCTCAATGACCACAACTTTTCTTTGCCTAACCTCTGCTGAAAGGGAGCTTTCAGCACTGAAGTCATTCTTTGTAATTATAACAATGTTGCATTCCTTGTAGCTAATCATGTCTCTAATAGTTCTGATAAACAGAAATTCCTGAAAAGGGAAGGATGTTGCCATTACTGCATACCAAACTTCTTTGTCTCCTTATTTATGTAAAGTGCATAGCCATGTTTTGAGAGAAAGAAAGAGAGAAAGAAGAGCTGAGAAGAGAAGAGGAGAGGAGAAAGGAGGCAGGAGAACGAGAAGGAGGCAGAGAGAGAAAGGAGGGTGAGAAAGACAGAAGAAGAAGGGGAGGAGAAGGAGAAAGGGAAGGGAGAGTAGAGGGGATGAAGGCAGAAATGGATTGGGGGGAGAAAAAGAGGAGAGCAGGGGTCAATGTTCCCTACTGTTAGTCAGCACTTTGTGGGGGGTGAGGGCAGGAAGAATGCTGTCCCTACAGTAGAATATGTTGCCCCTTGAGAGCTAAGACTCTATTTCAAGAAATCTTTATAGTCAGCTACTTTGGTTTGCACTTAATAGACCAAAATAAGAAACGGCTAATTTCTACAGGGCATTTAGATGTTTTCGATGTCTAAATATAAGAAAAATGGAAACACTGTTTTAACACTCAAATTTGATTTTCCTCAGAAATGTATCTTTAAAATTTTGCCTTTGTATAAGTGATTCAGATAGTTTCCCTTGATTATATCCATCTAAAAGCCTTTTACTGAACTATTGAGACAACCAACCTAAATAATGACAACAGTCAACTTCCAAAGGAAAAAAGAAAAAAACACAAATGAAACAAAACACAAATCCAGTTATGTAAAGTGAATGTAGATATAATACTGCTTCCATCTCTTAAAGCATTTCCTGAAAATATATGGTAAATGGCAACATTGTATTGTGGGGCAAATTTAAAAAAAATAGAAGAACAAAAATAACATCAACAAAGACATTACGAAACAAATTTGGCAAGAGTAAAGGAAACAAGCCATTAGTTTGAAAGATATAAAATTGCTGATATTTGAACGTTTTGTCAGAAAAAAATGGTATGTTTCAAACTAAATGTTGGAACTGTATATCTAGGTTTTAAAATTGTCTTCTTTGTTTTTAAATTACTTAGGGATTCCTAAGAAGGGTCATCAAAGCCCGCAATGTACTGTTTTTTATTAAGGGTGGTCAACCCCACCTGACAGATCACAATCACAAATCATCTATCTCATTTTCTGAGGATAATGACTGAACATTAGTCATATAATTTTCAAAACACACACTCCCTCACTTCAAAGGAAGATCACTAGTTCTCACCAAGTGGAAATTAAAATGCCATGGTGCTTCATTCTTATCTATTCAAACATTTGATAGACAGGTTAAATAAAAAGAGACTAAAGTCATGAACCAAACCAAGACAAAAGGAGTTCTTATAATGGCTGAAATTCAGAGGTCATGCAGACATTCCTCAGAACACACTTCAGACCACACAGTACTGCTTTCTTTAAACAGGATAGTCACCTCATAAGAGAATTTAAGATGTACACAAAGCAAGAGAAGTCTGAATGGGCTAGCAAAAATCTACATTTCCATTAACATAATCAGGTTATGGGGAAATTTGGGGAAAAGTATTATAAAATTCTATTATCTGTATTCAATAGTTGATTCATTTGTTTTAATTATTTATCTACTATGCCTTATTATTAATCTTTCCACTCAAATCTTCAATATATTTTGTAACATATTAATTTTAAGGAATTGCTAAATTTAACTTCCATAGAGAGCCAAATAGGGACATAACTTAATATAAAAACAATCTGAGACATCTCAATGTAAAATTATAGAACAAGTGAGCATGTGTCATTTGTATCTAAAAAGAATTCAACCAGAAGTTTATTTAAAAAGCAGCAACTGAGCAGACATTAAGGATTGATGGGGACTCACTTTATTGATAAGGATACTAAATATAGAGAGATTTGGCACTAGAATACTATAATCAAATAGCCAGTGGAAGATTAATCCAAAATAATCTTTAACTCAATAAAAAAATGTGGTTTAATCTACACATACCTTTTTAGAAAACCACCTAAAAGCAAGAGCTGCCTGTCATTGATCTTACCTGTCATTACTGAAGCAAAAGGCTGCTGCGGATCAAAAGGACATTTCAGTCTGCCAGACTCCAAAATATGTGTGTCTAGTTTGAACATAACTTCCTGTTATGAGAAATATTAACATAAGTGAGATTTTTAAAAATATCAGGATCAGAAAGAACATAGGAGACAAGAACTAAATTCTAACTCCTTAATTCAACAAACACTGACTGAGCATATAGCAGGTGCATCATGCTGTGCTCCATAATACTCTAGCAAATATTATTTCTGGCAAGACTCAATTCCCATGTTTTGATCTCTATCTGCCCAAAGTAGTAATGATAATACTGAACGAATTTTTCAATTGAAAGTAGTAATATATTCATCAATTCATTTAGTCTGGACCACTATCATTATAAAAAAAAAATCAAGCATACATATTTCTTAAGCCTAATAACTAATATATTGAGCCTCACAAGCCAATTTCCTCATCTAAGAAATAAATTAACTATAATAATAATTATACTTTCACAACTATTGTGGTCTATTTACTTAAGCACCTGCAACTATACCAAATTATTTGAGCCTTATGATATTTTGTAATTTTAGTGATATAAAAGTGCTCTAAGGCAGGCAGTTCATTCTCAGAGCTGTTGATATATGCGGGCAAAAAAAAATCCTGTTGTAGTATTTTCACTATTATGAAAACACTGAACACATTAAAGCCACATAGTTATTTTGGCTGAAACATCTATTTTTACAGTAGTGGCCACAGACAGAATGACACGGACAGACTTTTAATATTCAGGAAAAAATAACATCTTAAGTTGCACTTTCCAAGAAAAATATGAATGTATAATGAATATGGCTCCATGAGCTTGAGGATTTCATAACAATGATAACACCACCATCCAGCAAAAAGGCTGATGAGTCACCCTGCATACGCACTAGTTAGAGAAATTAGGCATTTCAGATATTCTCTCTAGATGGCATTTCTACAAAGTTTTGTCAGAGGACATGTAATAAGAAAGAACCATTCAGTGCTACTTATCTAGAAAGCAAGCAATGAAGCAAAAGGCATAGAGGAAATTGGACCATTTGTTGTATTATGTTGTCATTTCAGATCTTTTTCTTTTGAACAGGACCAATAGTAACTACTGCCTTATTAAAAAATAATAATATAGCAATTTATATAACATGATTAACAACTGCTATTTCATAGTTTTAAGTAAAGGCACTTTAATACTAACAGTACTGGTACCTAGCAGTTAACTAGTACTAACCATGGGCCAGGAAGTTTATGTACATTGTCTCACTGAATCCTCACCATAAACCTAAAGATGTAGCCACTTTAAAAATTTGAGCTTTAGAAGAGCAATATTGGGGATAGAAGGGGTTAAGTACCTTGTTAAGCATCACATAGCTAGTAAGAAGCAAAACCATAGCTTGGACTCAGGGCTGTCTCCTAAGTTCATGTTCTTAACTAATCTAGTCTCAGAATTTCAAACTTATGGATTTAAAAATGTGTTGAAATCAATTTATAGATGCATATGACCATGTAAAATGATCAAGCCCAAATATGTTTAGTTAGAACAGGTTAGCTAATGGCACGTTGTGATAGTGGAGCCTAGGCATGAAAAGAAGCCCAGTGAGAACACATTTAGGGCTTGCTTCCCAACTGTGTTGGGGCTAGAGATATGTCAGGAAAATACACCTGTAGATAGTTGCCCCTAAGTATCTTCAAATATCATGAAGGGCACATTATTCTCCACAGGTCAAACAGAACTGTGGACTCTAAAGCCTATAATGGAACATTGTAAAGGGAAAAAGTAAACTGAATCCTAGTGCTCCAGAAGATTATGGTAAAAAGCTGAAAAAGAAAAGACAAGAAAATATCTGGGAGAATGTCATAGTTGATGCAAAGTACTAAATAAAACCTTATAATTGTACAGACTTCTGTTTTCAAAATGCAACATTTCGTTAAATTCTTAAGATAACCCTATAAAATTGGCATTTGTGGGGGCTGGCCCCGTGGCCGAGTGGTTGAGTTTGCGTGCTCCGCTGCAGGCGGCCCAGTGTTTCGTTGGTTCGAATCCTGGGTGCGGACATTGCACTGCTTGTCAAGCCACGCTGGGGCAGCGTCCCACATGCCACAACTAGAAGGACCCACAACGAAGAATATACACCTATGTACTGGGGGGCTTTGGGGAGAAAAAGGAAAAAGTAAAATCTTTAAAAAAAAAAAAATTGGCATTTGTGGAGGCTGAGGAGAAGGTCTGCCTTATAATCTCCCGGAGAACGAAGACAGCAGGCAAAGCAAGTTTCCTTAAGCCAGAGTCAAGGACACTAACAAGAAAAGGATGTAAAAAAATGATGGCTGGTTAAATGGACTTCCTGAGAAAAAATGAACTACGTAACATTCTAACTTTTGAGACTTCAATTTTATAAGATTTTTCCCACTAAATTCCTGACTAATTATGCAAAAAAGCACCTAAGCTGCACACAGAAAATACTGTTAAAGAGATAAGAGGATAAGAATGATAGGAAACACTTAATCATCACAACAACTAGGCAAAGTTATTACTAATAGCATCCCCACTGAAAGACGAGATTTGCAGCAGCAGAGAGGAGATCCCAGAGGAAAGAGCATACTTCCGATCTAATTATTGAACTAGCGGGCACTCTCAGTATTGCAGAGTGTGTGTGTGTGTGTATACATACACACATATATATATATACACATACATATATTGCAGACATTATTTTTATATAGGGTTTACCTTTATACTTTACCTTTGCCTCTTTACCTTTCTGTGTTCCTTGTTGCCTAGTATGGCTGAATATTAAGTGACTGGAATGAAGCAAGTGCTATGCCAAAGCCTATACAATCAGCTTCTCTTTGTATCCTCAAAATAACTCTGTGAGGTAGTTACTATTATCTTCATCATTTTGCTGAATTAAAAGAAGCTTAGAAAGTTTTTGCAGTGTGCATGAGACCACAGAGCTGGTAAATGACTGGGGCCATCATTCAAACTCTGGCTCCCCATGCTCAAAGTATTAGTTGTTGACAGAAGCCCTGACTTCTGTCCTGAAAACCAAATCCAACTGCCCACTTGGTGTAACCTACTGAACATTTCTCGAATGCAGAATGTACAACACTAACTCACCATTTTCCTCACAAACTTGTTCCCGTTCTTACCTCAATAAATAACACCACTCTCCAACTCACTGCCAAAGACACAAATCTGGGATTCATTTTAGCTTTTTCTTCTTTCTCCCTATTGTCTCAGCCACAGTGAACAGAAGTTCCCAGAAAGGGGACATCCCACACTTCTCTCCTCCATCCCTTTTATATATTGCTGTTCCTTCTTCCCAGCCACCTTAGGAGCAACCTTATGTATTGAAAATGAGCCTTCTAAATTCCCTCTGGAAAGACAAGGAATTCCTGGGACTAACAATTCATTTAAAAAGTTAACAATCTTCAATCAGGGCCGACATACAATTAGCTGTACTCCTGACCAGCGGAAAACTCATGAGGCTCAATACCCCTGTTCACCCATAATTCTCTTATATACAGAACTTGGAAATTTGACTGCCCCAGGGCTTCTTGACAGTCCCAAGCTAAGTAATTAGCTCCATCTAATTCCCTTTCAGAGCTTGTGAATTTTGGGAGCTGAAGAACACTACTTGCATCCCTTAGCAGGTTGAGAGTTGGCCTTTAGCCTTAGGCCTCAAAACACATCCAAGATGTGGGACTATCTCATAATTACACCCTATGCTATGAGCTACTGTTTTATATTACCCTTCATCAAAGCTTGGCAAGAGAATATTATACCAGCAACAAAGAATGATGGATTCAAGTTGCCAAGTGTCCTAGTGGTTCAGAGATTTGACTATCACAGTTGCGTTATTTTCAAAGAGTTGAGTCTGGGCTGGCTAGACAAGTTGGTTAGAGAGGAAAATTAATCCAGCCACAGTTGTGGGTTTGATCTCTGCATGAATCAGTTAAATCAATGTAAATAAACCTGTTCCATAAGCACAGATTTTACTTTCAAACATGCAGCCAATTATCCTGCAAATATGTGTGGTTATTCACAAGAAGTACATACACAAACATAAGGATGACAGTGCAACCCATCAACCCAAACAGAGAACCACTTTAGAGTACATACTCTAAAGCTCAGTTGGGCATGCTTGCTCTAGATATAGATTGCTTTGGTTCAATTCCTAGCAACGCCATTTATTAGTTGGGTGATTTTAGGCATGTTATTTAATTTCATTGAGACTCAATTTCTACTAACTTGTAAATTGGGAGTTATAAAGATACTAACTCCATTAAGAGTGCTGTGAAATTCCCAAGAAACAATCTGTAAGTGGCCGCAGAGTCTATGACACAAAAAAAGCACTCTAATGAATGAGTTACTAATTAAATTACTAATATCTGCCTGTTTCTCATTTATTAAAATGCATTGAAAGCTGGAATACATTACTCCTAAGTAACACATCCTTTATTTCTACTATGTAAATTTGGTCTGGCAGAAACAATGAGTTCAGTGTGCTAATGATTATCTATACAATTTTAAGAAAATCTTTAAAATTCTCTGTACTTAGTGTCCACTATTGTAAATGTAGGTAACAGATCAAATTTGTTAGGTGGGAAAAATGAAATTATTTGTCAGATACAATTACATTGAAAGGTCTCATGGGAAATGTATTTTTATCAATAGCAACATACCTTATAGATCTACTTATAAAGGAAACTCAAGAGAAAATAAAGACACACATAGAGCCCATAGAAATTAAGTACTTTCAACATTTTACACTATTAATTTTGATCATCCCGTTAAGAAAACTTTTAAAAAAAGATTTTTTATTAGGTATATAAAGTGTATAATCAAAATGACAATCCATAAAGCAATTGGGAACATGAGTTCTTATACAGTTCAAAAACTAAACGATTCAATCTTTATATTCAAATCTGCCTGTTTTATGTCATAGACATTAAGTAACAAGGTGTTATGATAAATTGTTTTCATGCTATTTCATTATATTACCTCCTTGTAGACTCCAAGATCAATATATCCACATATTGGATGAAATGCTCCAGTTCCACACACATAAACGTGAGTTTTGTTATAGGGTTGAAGTACTCGGATGAAATTTGCACATTCTGTCTATTGGGCATAAAAAATAAAAGTATTATCACATAATTCAGGTTTTTGAAAGATTATCGTTCATACCACCTGTTTTCCAAGGAGATAAATCATCAAAAAACAGAACTAAAATGAAAAAAATTTATGAGAAATGTTTAAACACCTGACTTAGCAAAGGAGACAAAACAAATTAGAAACTGTAGCTTAAATGAATAACTTTGAAGCTTTTTGAAGTTTTAAATGTTTTTAACTAATCAGAGTGCTAGAATGCACATCCCTCTAGTGGTACTCAATGGGGCCTAGAGAATGGATATATACAGAATATGAATGAGCTATACCTACTTTCTTTCAAGAATTACCTAGAGAACAAAACCCATCATGTTCTGATGTTCCTACATTGTCCATCCCATGTAGATTCTACTGTTTGTAACATCAACTGTCTCAGCTACACTGAACAAAGCACTGGACACAGATGTGTATTCCTATAAATGTATTCTATTCTTATTGGCCATAATATCCTACCACGTTATTTCATTTTCAATGTTAAAACCTTTAAGATTCAGCTTAATTCTGCTTATTCCAAGAATCTCTCTGTTTTTCCCATGAATATTTTTTAACACCACGTCAAATATTTGTTTTACATTTTTGCTTGTTTTGTATATGCTTAGGCCTAAAAATATTTCTTTACATCCTCATTATCTTTGTAACTTAATTATTTTCTGTCCCCCAGTTACTTGTAAATAGTGACTCTCAATATTTCAGGGTAGTCATTCTTGTTAGATTATTTTCCATTTATCCCCTGTAAGTGATTCCTTATCATTAACATAATTATTGGAAACAATTTCTTAACCATGGCTTCATATTCCTGGACCCAAAGACCCCCGAGGAACATTAGGCTGTAGCATACTTTTATTCTAGATTAACCCTACCCAGGGGATAGCAGGTGTTCACTAAGCAAGTTGAAAACCTATGAAACCACCGGGAATCATTGAAAAAGTCCAGTTTCTCCCTGTCTGAATGGCCGTGGGTTCCTCACTAGTCAGGTATTGACCCCTTGGTCACTGTTGTTGTTAGAAGGAATATATTAAAAAAAAAAAAAAAAAAAGACAATGACTTAACTGATAAGGTGGTTCTTAAAATTAAGCAAAAGTTTTAAAAGACAGATAACAACTGATAGGCTTCTTATAATTGTTATATGGATTACATTAAATAACATTACATTTAATAATTGTTTATTACTTACACTGATTTTGTCCTATACAAAATACCAATATCCCAGTGGCTGTTCTGATTTTATAGTGAATAGCTATGACCTGTATCTAGTTCTTCCTTTGTCCAGTGAGCCTGGCAATTTTATGTCTCAAGAAGTTGTAGATTCCAGTTAATAAAAAGTGCACATTCTACCACAAAGAATGTTACAATGAACTCATTGAGTCTTCTGCTCTCTGCTTCCTTATAAACAAAGCAGTTGCCTAAGACCATACGAAAGGACAACATCTGTCCCTCAGTTAGCCATGCAAGTAAAGGACGTTTCCTTATCAGGTAGGAAGATTCAGCACTCTCCAACAGGAAGAGGGCCACCACATATAGTTGCTTGGGTTGTATGCTACAAAAAAGGTCCTATCTAAGGATGTGCAAATCACACTACAGACATCTTTATTATCCTGAATGTTTTCATATGTTTAGTATATGTTCTCCTATATTTTTTATATGTAGACTCCCATGAAAGAAAAATTTTATATTCATTAAGACAATTTTCTGGCAGATAGTCCTGTTTAACAAAATCATATTATGTCAGCTTTCTACCCTTCCATCAAGGTGTCTGATGAAGAGAACTTATCTTCTATTTGCACAAAAGCACTGTAAGAAACTACTACATGATCATCAGATGAATTATAATGCTAGCCTCATTGCTAGGGTAAGAGGTTTTAATAGTCTTCAGCCTTTATTTTGCCCACTCATGCTCACTGAAAGGACTTTTATTTCTTTGTCTTTCCCCCATGAAGAGATTTATGCAAGGGTGAGATCTACACAAGGAACAATACACACGGAAGAGAAGAGTAGAATTATTTAGCTGGAATGAGATGGGATTGACTCATTTCTAGTTATTTCATCATTTTTCAAAATCTCAGTTTTACCATTGTAAAATTGTCATAGAATTTAGAGGATAATTTTTATGGATTTCACATTTATGTCTTCCCAAAATTCACAGGTTGAAACCTTAACCCCTCAGTGTAATAGGAGGTGAGGCCTTTGGGAAGTAATCAGCTTTAGAAGATGTCTTGAGACTGGGATCCTCATCATGGGATTAGTGCCTTTATAAGAAGAGACCATGGGCTTGCTGTCTCAGTCTCTCTGCCACATGAAGATACAAAAGGAAGATGGCCATCTCCAAGCCAGGAAGAGAATTCTCACCAGGAACCAAATAATCATCTGAATATTGCATGAGACTTGATTTTGGACTTCCCAGCCTCCTGTGAGAAGTGAATGTCTGTTATTTAAACCACCTAGTTAAAGGTATTTTGTTATAGCAGCCCAACCCGACTAAGACAGTAATTTTACAAGATTGTGAAATAAATCTTTGTATAAAGAAATAAAGCAACTCCCTTTCCAGATTATAAATTATGGAGCCAGAAAGACTAGGGATGATGAGGAATACAGCACTGTCTAAAAAGGCAAATAAGGACCAGGGGGAAGTTTTATACACATAGGAGATATAATTTTAACAAACTTTAAAAAAAGCTCTGAAACTACCTAAAACATTTCACATCTTTTAACTTTTCTAGGAGTACTTTATTAAAATGCAGCCAGCCCTGGAAAGTAACCTTTTATGCTAGTTTCTGACTTGGTAAGACATTACCAAGGATTTATTTATGAAATTCCTCCCTTCTCTCAGATTGGGCTGACATGGAAGAGAACAATAGATGGATAAGTTCTGCATTATCTGACACAGTTTATAAAAAAGTCAGTTCTGCTCAAAGTTTTCTGTAATGAAGTTGAGGGAGGGTAGTTCACTAAGCAGCATGGGGGCAATGAAAAGGCATTGGTTGTCTGAAGGAAAGAACTGGGAACAGAGATTCTAAAAGATAAGGTCTCATTTTAAATTTGGACTGGAGTGGACATTTCAGCTAAACATACGATGCAATACAATGCAAAAACTTTACAATGATTTCTCATTTAATTGATAACTTATTTTTTAAGACCCAAAGACTGTGTCATTTTCTTTTAATGCACAAAGTTTCAAAGTTTTGCTTAAATAGCATGGGCAATAATTAACTGGATTTAATTCACTTAGCGACCTTCATGGATTAATGGTAGCTTAATTCTGTGAGGCATGAAGAAAGATTACTTTGAGAAGCAGTTATTTAAACTTTCCCTGAAAGCTGGCTAATTTGTCAGCTATTGCCCACAATGGCAAGGGTTGCTGTATGTGACCAAAAAATTCAATTCGGCAAGTAATATACTCAACTTCCGAAAAGTACCGAATTTCTCCTTCCTTCCCTATTCTTCCTACCTACTCCTCCTTCCCCCAAAGCCATCTCCCCGACTGGAACAGAGAGAGAGAAAGAGAGAGAGAGAGATTTAGAAACAAGCATCAACTTTTCAATTCTCTCAAGTAACATTACTTGTTTTAATATTTTACGTCTATGCATCCATACATGTATATATAATTAAATAAATAAAACAAATATAAAACTGAATTAATACTTGGAGAAAACACAAATATATATTAGTCTATGTATTAACAGTTGGAATTTGAGTTCTCCCTAGTACCTGGAAAAAGATTAGCAAAACAGAGTACTTGTAATTCTCACAGACTTACATATAGTTCAATTAAATCCAATCAGCTTTCTACATATTTCTGATAAATGACTTTCAACTGCAATTTTAATTTATTTAGGTTATATACGGAAAGACACTCATAGTTTAGAAATCTTGTCTGTTTTTAGTTTTAGTTTATTTTGCATAATATTGTGATCATCCAACATTTTTTGATCACTCACCACATGCATGTCATTGTGCTACATGCTAGGTTTGTCTTGAAGACTTCGGATAGAATCCAGTCTGCAGAGATATCTGTCTAGTTCTTATAAAGTTGAAAATATTTTAATAAGTTGTCAACACTTCAAATACATGAAAATCCAAATATCACATTTTTCTCTTAAAAATGGAAGATCTAACGGTGGAGATTTCTACAGAGCAAAAAAGCCAGTTGTGGTAAAAGGGCAAAGGAAAACACTTTTTTAAAAAAATGAGAGATATGCCTATTTAAATATTTGAAAATCTATATATCACATAGGATAACTGAGAAAGAATATTTTTTACTTGAATGGATCACAAAGTAATAATATTTTATATATAAATATACTTTATACATATATATAATCTGTAAATAATCAGTAAGGAAAAGACAAACACTAAAATTTAAAAATAAACAAATTGTAGGGATCTGTCATTCCAAAAAATAAATTCTAATTTTACAGCCACATAAAATATTTAGTCTTTACACAAATGAAAGAATTCAAACTAAAACAACAAAAATAATTTTCTCTTTGTTGGCAGAGATTAAATATATTTATTTTATTCATTTATGTATTAGTATTAAATCTTAACTATATGCTCTGTCCAATATTACCAAGGACATGAGGAAATATACCCTCTCATGAGCATGCACTGTTGGTTATAAATCATAGCAGGCATAAATTTTCTGGAGGACAATTTTTCAATGTGTGTAAAAAATTTTATATCCTTTGACCAGTAATTCTACTCAATAATCATAGATGTTCAAAATATTTATATATAAGGTTTTTCATGTGCAGCATCATCTACAACAATAAAAACTGGATACATATCAAACTTCTAACAATAGGGGATTGATGAAATAATATATAAAGGAATGCAGTGTAGCTATTAAAAGTAGTGTTATAAAAAGGAATTTAATGACATGGGAAACTGCTCATGGCAGTCTGCAAAGTGAAAAAAAATGTTTTAAGGGACTATGTATACAATGATTTCATTCTGAAAAATAGTAAATAGATAAGATAGAATAAACATCAAAATGTCACAAGCTATCTCTGGGTAATGTCCATGGGGGAGGAGATATTTACAGATGACTTCTATATAATTTGCAAACTTCCTACAATGAACACTTTGTTTTGCTTTTAAATGTTCTTCTTTAAAAAACAAAGAAAAGAAAAGAAAGAATGTAATCATAGACCTTTAGAGATGGAAGATCCTTAACTCTATGTACTGTCTCTATTGACGAAGTTGTGCTCCTCTATGATTAAACTGACAGACAGGCCACGCTGCCCACACTTGTGTTCTTTCGCCTGCACTGAGCTGTTTACCCTACTCTTTAGAGTCAGGATTAAAATATTTCTTTAGTGACTTTCTTTTGAATAATATTCTAAGTAAGAAACAAAATACTACCAAAGAGCTTCCTGTCATCTCTTCTGTTCTTGGCATGAACTAGGCACTGTGCTGAAGAAAGTGGAATAGTTCTCTTCTGTTTCCTCATCGTCTGCTCCCTCCCCACCCCAATTAGCTAACTTTCATTATGGTAAATAATTCACTATTTTTCAGTTATATAGTACCTGTGTGTAAAGGGACAGTCTTTCCAAACACTTGTTAATCCTAAACACACACTTGGGAAGTAGGTAAAAATTACTAGAGAGAAGGGAGGAGAGAGAGTAATGCCAAAAGTAGTAAAAGATGTCAATAAAACCACACACTTGTCTCAGTTTTTTGTTGGCCAAAATCTATGCAATGCTGTAAAATAAGGGTCTATGTTACAGTGATATTGAAGAGAGAAATGATTTGATGGATACAGTTTTCAGATCTTATATGTACAGTTCAGATATTTATGCATAGATTATAGCGTTGTCTAAGAACACAGATCGTGGGCAAGACTTCCAGATTCAATTCCTGGCTTCACTATTTACTAGATATGTGATATTGGGCAAGTCATTTAATTTTTCTGGCCTCAGTCTTCTTATCTGGAAAATGAGGAATAATAATAAAATACAGCATACAGTATTGTTGTAAGGATTAAATGAGATTAGAAATATAAGGTATTGAAAATAGTTCCTGGAATGTGGTAAGTGCTATAAAAGTGTTAGCTATTCTTAGTAACTCTAAAATATAATATTATTTTAAAGGGAAACATTAAAAAAGAGACAAAGACTTACATTATCCCTACATGGTTCAACATCAAACTTTACAGAGCTCAGAAAAAAGAGAAAATCTCCCCAAACCTCTAATCCTATTTTGGTAGTAGGTATGTGTAAAGGTTAGAGATGATTACCAGCTCCCAAATACAACTGAAGCGGAAGAACAGGTTCCATATACTGGGTCCTACGTGCTCTAGGATACGGCCTCCAGAAAAGTTTATCATCCTTTGCTTTAACTTAATAATAGAGACAACTGAGTTACTATATAACTGGAATTAGTGGACATACTGAAATGAGAACACTGTCACAACTGAAACTTCATTGATTCTTTGACCTTGAGTATTTACTCCTCATCTACTCCATAGGAAAAGTGACATTAGTTTATCGGTGTAAATTAAAAATACCCTTTTCCTACTTGCCTCCTTATCATACACTCTATACTGGTGAAACACAAAATGTAAAAGTGCTCATACTGTTTATGACATGCTTCTACTGTTTTTCAACAAAATAATTTTGAAAACTCTCATAAGCACAGCATCTTTTTCCCTATGAGATCAAAAAAATATTGACGCTTTTGCAGACCTGGGCATCTGCTCAGAGCTGGGATATTGAACAGGGTGAAGAGATTAGAGACATGAAAGGAAGAAGAATAAATTCTAAAATAGTTTAATCTCTTTCATTTCTAGAAAACTAAATGTAAAAATTATTTCCTATTGCATTTGATACTAACACTCCCTGATATATTTCTGCTAACATAAATGTTCCTTAAAAAATCACATTTAACACTGAGTACAAAATCAGGCATAACAAAAGCTTCTTTCTTTTGTTTTGATTATTTTGTTTTGCACTACCATTACTATGCACAGTAGTCCCTCAGTATACATGGTGGGGACTGGTTATAAGACCCCCTCTCCCCCCATACCAAAATCTTCAGGTGCTCAAGTCTCTTACAAAATGGCATAGCATTTGCATATAAGCTACTCACGTCTCCTTCCCATACACTTAAATCATCTCTGGATTACTTTTGATACCTAATACAATGTAAATGTTATGTAAATTGTTAGTGTACTGTATTGTTTAGGCAATAATGACAAGAAAAAAAGTCTGCAGATATTCAGTACAGACACAACCACCGTAGGCCTCGGTTGAATTCAAGGATGCAGAACCCACAGATACGGAAGGCCAACTGTATTTCATCATTTGAGTAATAGCTGTATCTCTTATTAGACAGAAAGCTCCAGGAAAGCTGATACTGTATCAATTCCATACACATGTTTATGCACATATTTCAGCTTTTAATAAACATTTGTTGAATAAATGAATGAACAGATGAGTAAACAAACCTATTGTCTCAGATTCTTAGTCTTGTAAGCTTCCCCTTACTTCATTAAGCATCATGTGTCATGTTGTTTTACTTTTATCACAGTGATAAAGTGAGAATTTTTAATTTAATTATGCTTTCAGATACACACTATTTGTTATTATTAAATATGAAGGCATTGATCAGCTTTAGATTCCTGAGTTATTATGGTTAGAGGCAACATTAGAGGATGTTGCAAAAGAAGCCTCAAGATGTTCATGATTCGATCCAAAGTTAGAACCTCTTTTCATCTTGAGTTAATATTCAGGAAGTAATTTATTTTGCCAAAAAAGCAATTCTGCCTATCACCACTGTGCAAGAAGTCAGGGCAGAACATGGAGCATCTGGCCTGTATCAGAATACTTTGATGAGGAGAAGAAGCAGTCGTAGCCACAGTGCTCTTCAGTCGCTGCTGGAGGTAAAATAGGCAACACAATTTATGGAGCATGCAGGACAACCTGGACGATGCAAAAGCAATCCAGACGGGATGCCCCGAAGACAGTTACGGTAGTCACACCTACCTAAGGGTGTGCTCTGGTCCTTAAGGCAGCTTCAACTAAAAGTTTCTATTAGGACCCCACTATTTATCCTTTATAAGTTATTTCATATAATTATGCTTATGTAAATTTTAGAGTAAATTATTTCTAGTTCTTAATCCAGAATGTTGTCATTCATTTTCAACCAATCCTTCTTAAATATCTCTATAATCTCAACTTTTCAAAGAATTCTTCCAGATGTGGCAAGTTTAATTTCAACCCAAATTAAACTAAATATCAACTGAATGTTTATAACGCTAAAAGAACTGATGATTTTGTGTACACTTACAAAATACATATAAATGAAAAATACACAATCCTAGAAACACAATATTTTCTGATGGTTGTTTTCTAATATTTTAAATGTATTTCTAAGATTTGTTAAAAAAATAATATTCAAAATTAACACTTTAGAAAGTATAGCATTTCTAAATTTCTGACAACGTTATTCCCTTTGGCAAGGTAGAAATATTTTACATCATATTAATGTTTACACAAAAAGTTAGTGTGGTTAAAAGTAATATACTAATGCCATCAATTGAAAAAAACCCAATATAAATATTTACTATCATATTAACACTAGTTTAACAAAGATATTTTTTAAAGTCTCATACTTACACTGGCATCTTTCCCAGCTAATTTACATAATTCCACTCGTTCCTTTGCAGCCGGCCAATATATCTGCAAAACATTTCAAGGTGTGTTAAAATTTGAGCATCTGAAAACACCGTACAATTCTAATTAGGGAAGTGAGTACATGAAATTTAAGAGTGGATATCAAGCCAAGAACATGCTGTTAGGTATACTGTAAGAATTTTGAGATTTAAATATTTTCCTAGGCCATCCTAAAAAGTTTCGAAGAAAAAACTATGCAGAATTATCCACTTTTATTTGTCAATATTCAAATTTCTTTTTAAATGTATTTAACAATAGATAAATTATGTTGGGAAGGCCATAAATTCTTATTGTGATATCAACAGAATTTCAGATTAGCATTTGCTTAAGAGATTCTATTTACCCTATTTACTCTATGTTTCCTCAGTGGTAGTACATTATAAACATGTACAGTGAGGTGTGGGACAGCTCTTTGTCATAAGCAGAAGTTATTGCTCCGAGTCAAAGACCAGTGTGGATTTGTTGACAATATTTAACATGTTTGGAGGGCAGATCATCTGTCACTGATTTTATAAGCATTATCTTACTTAAATCTCATAATGACACTATGAGATAGCTGCACTTACTCTCCCCATTTTCCGGTCCAAAAAGTTATTCATACAGTTGTTAAATAACATGTCAAGGGCCAGGAAGCTAGTTTGCAGCAGAGCCAAAATATGACCCAAAGTCTATCTGTCTCCTGAAGTGGGGGGGTCTCAATCACCGAATAATAAATATTATTTGGGCAAATGATTAAAGACAAGGGCAGCAAACTCCTTGACTGGTAGCTATTAATCATGCTTTAACCATCTTGAATTTATCACAAAGGTTTTGTTTTGGTTTTTAAACACACTTTCGGAATTCTGTCAGGAAGTTTTTGCAACATAAGGTTTAAACAGTTACACTGCTACGTTAGCTTAGAGAAGGAAATGCTCTCCATTAAGCTATAGGCAAGACCAAACAAGAAAAGTAAGCTCTGAGTTGCTTATAACGTTCCAAGAGTTCCTAACAAACTTTTACTATGTTTCTCACCAATGTTAGCAGAAAATCTTCTAATAGGTGAGGAAAAAAGAGAATATCCTGAGGGAATACACTGAAAGAGACTTCTTAAATTTGGAATTAACAAATGATTTATGTCACTAACGTTTATATGATATTATCTTCGTAGTGGAATTTTAGGGTTTTATGTCTGCGAATAAGGAAAAAAAGAGAATAGAACTCAAACTCTCTTAGTAGATAAATACAATGAACTTATTCAGATTTTTAAATGAAGCAACGTTGTTCGTTTAGAGTACTTTTTTTTTTTTTTTTGAGGAAGATCTGCCATCAATCCTCCTCTTTTTGCTGAGGAAGAGTGGCCCTGAGCTAACATCTGTGCCCATCTTCCTCTTTTTTATATGTGGGACGCCTGCCACAGCATGGCTTGATAAGCAGTATGTAGGTCCGCACCCAGGATTCAAACCAGCAAATCCTGGGCTGCCAAAGTGGAACGTACAAATGTTAACTGCTGCGCCACCAGGCCAGCCCCTGGAGTCCATTTTAAAAACCTACAAATTACAATCTAAAGGTGTATATAAGCAGGGTGGACGAGCCAGCTGTAGGATCAAATGACAAGCTAACTTTGTTGTGGTTCACAATGAGGACCTAAAGATTCTATTTATTCAGAAATAGTTTAAATCACTGCAATTATATTTTCACACAATATTGAATAATAGCCAGCAGTAAAACATGAATGGACTACAGGAATGAAGAGCAATATGGATGGACCTTAGCAATTCATTATTAGGTGAAAAAAGTATATTCCCCCAAATTACAAACAGCATGATCCCCCTAGAATAATGTTAAACACAACTAAAACAGGCATATTTTAGGTGTATATATAGATGCAACAAATATGTGAAAAGAAATGCAAGAGAGTGATGAATACAGGATACAGAAAGATGTTTACCCAAATTTAGAAAAAAGGAAAAGGTTAAATTGGTGGCAAAAAACAGTTATTTACCAGATCTTAACTTTTGTTCTGGATGGTGCATTTTCAGGTTTTTAATACACAATTACAAACAACTAAGTAATGTAAGTTAGTAAATAAATAAATCAAAATGGGCCATGCATAGGCCAACTGACAATAGTCAGTCATCAAGCTAGAATCACAAAGTCTTAAATGAATAAATGAACAGTAAAAATAAAACACTGCAGGTGGCAGGAAATTTGAAAGTTTCTTCAAATTGCTTTTGCTTGCTTGTTTGTTTTGGCTTTTTTTTAAACCACTGGTAGCAAAAAAAAAAATACTGAGTGTTCTTTTTCCTTCCTTTAAAAATGGCATCTTGAATTTATGGAATCTTTGCTTCATATTTGAGCTTATAAACTCAAAACATCCTCTTACTATTTTTTTGCTGATTCTTTTTTTATTATTTTTAATTGTGGTAAAATATACATAACATGAAATTTACCATCTTATCCATTTTAAGGGTACAGTTCATTATTGTTAAGTATATTTAGTTTGTGCAACAAATCTCCAGAATTCTTTCATCTTTCAAAACTGCAACTCTATACTTGCTGATTCTTGAATATTATAGTGATTTTACAGAGGACAACTTTGTATCATTGGACTGAAAATAAATTGTACCCAGAATGCATGTCCATGATCTGTCAATTGGTTTAATCTTTAGCTCATTTTATTTGGTCTCAAGTCTACACTAATGTTTCTTTGAGCCTTTTCAATATGTCAGATCCTGTTCTTTTCTGTTTTATATGCTACATTTAATCACATTTCAGAAATAAATTTAGAACAAATATTTATAGATTTATTCAGATCTGAATATCTTATGGATATTAATACTATATAAAAAAGGAAAATATAGAACTCTTTCATATTAAGTAAATGAAACTTAAGAGGGGAAAAATCATCACAGGGGTCTATTTTTTACCTTAAACCAGTATATTGGGTGATTGAGTTAAAGCAAATTATGAGACAAATAATGTTTCTAAAATTGATTTTGACTATATTTAAAGAGGCTTCTAAAAGGAGGGAGTTATTTAAAGATTGAAAAAATGTGGAAGCAATCCTTATATCAATTTTGAAATCTAAATGAAAGTTCCAAATAGACACAAATTGTGAAGGGCCTTCTGTATGCCATTGAGGCATGTAAATTTGAGTCAGGAAGATAGTTCTGTAAACTGATAGGGTAACTGCATTGCCACAGGAGATCCAAAGAAAGTGAGGAGAGAGCACAGAGGATGGAGCCACTATACCCCGGGAGCACTAGCAAGCAATGAGTGCTAAACACAGTCTCTACCAGCCCCAACTTTTGAGCTATTGTTTTAAATTACTTGCTCTTAAGAGTTTCAACTCTAATGTAATAGTTGAGTTTAGCTGAATAGTTTCAACTCTAATTTTGTATTAAGGACTTGACACTAAAATACTAAGTGCCGATTCTTTTTTCTTTTTGCAAAGGAATACAGATCTCTAAAGGATGTTTTAATGGTTCTGTTGGACATTTTCAGTTATTAGTTATAACTCATATAATTGTAAATTGAGTTGTGCCATCCTAGTTAATGAAGCAATAAAACTAAAATTACAAGAGTCAGAGAATCGGGTTTTTGACTAGTGGGTAAATGTGATACAAAGATATACAAGCACTGAGAATTTGCTGGACTCCAGAAAACAACTTGAATAAATCTTCTAACTTCTGTTTATAAAGCAGATTTTCCCCACAAATTTTATCTCACTTTTCATCATTCACCTTCAATTTCATAAAGTCTAGAACCTGTTAAAAATAGAATTTTTTCTTAGATCATTATTATTATTGTACAGGAATTCTAAGATGGTATCACTTTACTTCTTAAGGCAACATTCAAGCCTTAAAAATAAAGATTAATTGAGATCATATATTGGCTTATTTTGACACAATGCTGTCAAGAATCTAGGAATCACAAATAGAATTAATAACAACCACCTAGGAGATATCTGATTATCATCCAGACTCTAAACATTTACTTAAAAGGAAGAAAAATCATTGTAGTTGTGCCAATATTTAAAAGATATCATTTTAATTATGATTTATGATGGGGTTTTCTTTTCCTTGCAAACTAGTCATTGGAATAAAGGGTTTATTTTTTTTTAATATTTCTTTTGATTCCTTGTTGGAAAAAATTTAAGGAAACAATTTCTTTTAATTCAATCTAAAAACAAAACAAAGCACGGGCTGGCCTGTTGGTGCAGTGGTTAAGTTCGCACGTTCCACTTCTCGGCGGCCTGGGGTTCACCAGTTCAGATCCCGGGTGCGGACATAGCACCACTTGGCAAAAGTCATGCTGTAGAGGAAGATGGGCATGGATGTTAGCTTAGGGCCAGTGTTCCTCAGCAAGAAGAGGAGGATTGGCAGCAGTTAGCTCAGGGCTAATCTTCCTCAAAAAAAAAAAAAAGCAAAACAAAAAAAAATTCACAACAAAAAAATCACTTTATAGTTACACAGGGTTTGCAGAAATATGTTCAAATAACATGTTGTTTTTCATTAATCTTTTCAAGTGACATATATAATATGACATATATCTCTATCTCCTTATCTATATAAAAGCATTCCACCACTTCCATATTTTTCTAGTCAAATTGTGTGTGTAGATGGTTATGGAGTGGGAAAAACAGTAAGAGAGAGAAATAGAGAAGGATACACACAGACACCTAGAGGAAGAGAGAGAGATATTAACTCCAATTGGGTATAGAGTAACAGTTCATATATAGTCTCAAGTTTCAGCATAGTTTATACAAAAGCCCAAGAGGTACCCGAGATCCTGAGATTATTTCAGTAGCTCAGTCAGTATACTTTGAGACTGCGTCACTCTCAGATAGGAAGCACACCTCACACTTAAAAATACAATGTCCACAATATCTATAAAAAGCTCTCTTGAACATTAGGTAATGTGAACAGTTTTGAAGCAGTGATTATTAATATTCTCATTGCTTCCTGAATTTGTCAGCAATAAAATGACATATATATTTCCTCACACTTTAGTCCCTTGCACATGCAGCATTATGCCATATTAAAAGGTGCATTAAGAGGACAAAATACATATTTCTGTTTCTAAAAGCTGCACTACTCCTTTAGAAAGCTACCCACAGATATTTTTCTTTCACTTCTCAAAGAGGTATATCAGAAGCAGAGATGCCACTTGCGTAATTCTCATAGTTTAATTGTCCTGAAATATTCCCACAGCACACTAATTCTTAACTAACACTGTATGACGTACCAGGTACAGGATTTAAGGCTATCATTTTGGTGGATAGTAGTCATTGGAACCTTGGAGCTTTGATATCAAGGATCTCAAATATGCAGAAAGCTTACTGCTGCTCTCTCTACCCACGTGCAGGGCAGACATCAGAAATCAAACAGATCTTTTCTGTGGAACCGGATGGGCCCAAGAATTCCTCTCAAAATAATTATCCAAGGTGTAACTATTAATTAACCACTGCTAAACAATTAGGGGTTACAAATTGGCTTTGATTTGAGTGCTAATCTTATAAACCAAGCTGATAACAGAAAACTACTGTTGGAAACAGAATAAATTTATAAAATTTCTCCACTTAGAAGTGATAATTTATGCATTAATGTTTTAAAACAAGTATGTCTGACAAGTTAGTCCCCATATTCTATAATTTACTGACTTACCCATGGTAGTATGTTCCTATTGTTTTCATGAGATTTTGCAGTTGAAATTGACCATTTATAGAGGATTAATTTTTGCATGATACACTTGGAAGGATCAACTATTAACCTCAAAAAACACAGACGTAATGCTCACCTCAGCAGCACATATATTGAAATTGAATCATATAGAGAAGATTAGCATGGCCCCTGCACAAGGAAGACATACAAATTTGGGAAGCATTCCATACTTCTTTTAAAAAACAAGGAGAATAAAAATAAATATGTACATATTTTTTCTTTTAGAGTTATAGAATATAGATTACCAATATGAAAAGAGATCATTCTAATTAAATGAAAATTGTCTTCAGTGTGTCTTTATATATGCTCATATGCTACAAATTTATATTTTAAACACATTTTTCAAAAGTCATTTAATATTGATTTTCTTATGAAAATATAGCAGGAGCCACATGCATTTAAAAATACAACATATGGGGCTGGCCCTGTGGTGTAGTGGTTAAGTGCTCTCCAATTCGGCGACCTGGGTTCGCGGTTTCAGACCCCAGGTGTGGACCTACACCACTCCTCAGCCATGCTGTGGAGGCAACCCACGTATAAAGTGGGGGAAGATTGGCACAGACGTTAGCTCATGGGTAATCTTCGTCAGCAAAAAAAAAAAAATATATATATATATATATATATACATGCCATCTATAATCTAGTTATCTTAAATTGATTTTATTTGCTTATCTCTATCCAAAATCCAAAACTACCTATTTCTTTGTTTTTTGAAGCATTTTTTCTTCACTTTGAATACAAGCAGGCAGGAGGAACTCACAAGTAAAATACTGCAATGTCCTTAACAATTACTGTTTCATTCAAAATTTATATAATTCATTAACAGTTATCATTTGGTAAGGTGAAAATGTCAGGCAACTTATTTTTAATTATTTAATTTTAAGCAAGTTACAGAAACATTCAAACAGTGATAAGGTCTTATAACAACATCCTAAGGAAATTATAATTATATCTGTTCTTTGTTTCATCTTTGGAGAAGCAATTTAATGGACTCAAGTTAGCAAGTACAAGGTCAGTCAAATGTCCTTTGGCCTAATTTCAGAGATACCAAAACAACTGAATGGAATATACAAGAGGAAGTTAGAACTTGTTCATAAAACCTAATTACTCAGAAAAATTCAGAGACCTAAAAATGCAAGTGGCCATCTCTATCAATGAACAGAATTCTAGTTTTTGAATGGTTGTAAAGAAGCTGGAAAAATGTTGTTCTAAATGCCGTATGGTACAAGTATTTGAACAACTGAGGGAGCAATGACTATTCTGGGTTCCAAGGACAGAAAGAGGTAGGACATCAGAGCTCAAAGAATGGAGTATTAAAAAATAATGACAGGAGCACGGAAGGTAAAGCTTGCATAATTGAAACTGGCTGGGGTAGAGACTGTTACAGTTGGGAAGTTTAGCTCTCAAGTTTTGGGTCTGGTCTGCCCACAAGCTTCCTTCGTGAAGTCTTGGGTGAGAACTGTCTGTGTCTCTTCCTTTCCTTTTCTAGAATTCAGTTCAAAATTTCTTTTACATTAAGCCTTCTCCAGCAACCCTCTCTGAATTCTAATACACTCATGTTTATTGCATCCATCTGCCACTTTCTTTTTGCAAGTAAATTTAGCCTGGGACCTTTTCCTAACAGTAAAGATCAATGAAATGCATGAAATTAGAAGATGAATTCCACCTTCTGTAGCAGATGAGTACTACACCGCTCTTTAGCAGCTAATGCTGTTCTTTCAAATATTATCTTAGTATTATCCTTAAAATGGACTTGTTCTGCCTGGAATACACCTGACCTCCTCTGAATGGTCTCTTCTTATAAATAAGTGTCCACTTTAATACCGCCTCTGCAGGAAGGCCTTTTCTGAAGACCAAGCTAAAACAGTTTCCCAGGAATATCGCCAAATTTTTAAAAATAACGCAACACTAAATATTATCTTGTTTTCTTTTTTCTTCATCAAATCTTCTCAAAATTTTGTAAGGAATGAGGTCACAGCCTCCACTATCTTCTTAAACAAGTATTTAACTCATTGAAGCTTAGTGACCACTGGTCTGGAGTGACAAGCAACACTGCTTCTTCTTCCCACTCTCGTTAGCATCTGGTACAGTATCACACACATAATAAGCACTCAGTAATTATTGAAAAGTGATCCAGAGTTTCGCTTAAAATTGGAGACAGAGAAAGAGTTCTTGTCGGAGTTCTGGCAGGAGTCTGAGCAGTCTGAACAACATCCTGACAGTCCATTACAGTGAGCAGATGGGACCTGCACATCAGCACCCGGGTTGGGGAGCCAACACATCCATGAACTGGGCGATTGTTTTACCTCTGTGGTTACTAGACAGCATGTGTTCTGCAGGCAATAGGAAAAGATTAATCACCATGAAACTAAGCAGGGTGCCTTATACCAAAAGTTAATTTACTGGGATGTCCACATGGTTTCCAAGTGTTTATATTTTCTTAAATTCTAGTACTAACTAAGAATAAAAAGACTGGTAATTTTCTTTTATCAATAACTTGATTTTAAATGAGACGTTATTTATTCTGAGTCCTTCCCCCTAAATAATAGACTTACAGGGTAAAGCACTAGATGAAAATGTCTTATTCAGCCATGAAGTAAGTGAACAGAACTGGAGTCAGAAGGTCATTCTGATTTATAAAAGCATTTCTGCTTATAGTCAATATAAAGCAAGTAAGTACAGAATCCTCATGTATGAAAACCCTCTTGTTTTAGACTTCTTTAATGAAAGGGAAATAACAAAGTGCTTTTTCATGCTATACAAAGAAGGGTGTTTAACTATTCCACTGAAAAGTATTATATTTAAAATTACAAACTCATTTAGCTTACTTATTCTTCTCTTATAAATGCTTAAAAATAGGGGCACAGTTTGATAAATTTCAAGTAATCTGACTAGTTTTCATAATCACATATCTAGCTTTCATGTTAAATAAGGAGAAAAATAATGTAAAAATTACATTATGATTGCTAGGTGGAAGAAAACAATCTGTCACATTTATAAATATCGAATTATCTTATTAACAATCTGCTAAAAAAAAAGAAAATTCAATCCTCTCAGAGTGTCCAAGTTCTAGCTTAAGTGTTTCATCTTTAAGTTTATCCAATGTTTCCCTTAAAATAATTCTGATTATTTTTGGGTAAACAACCAACAGAGTAAGATTCTTAAGCAAATGCAGGGACCTAAATTTTAGCAAGGTGAAATGAAATTGTTTCAGCTTATTCCATAAAAATACACAGTAATCTTAGGTAGGCTATGCAATGTATATATTGCTTTGGTGCATTGCTTTCTCATTTTAAAACCCATAGAAAAACTTCCTGTGTTACCCCCAAACACATTTAGTATATTTTACATTAAAAACAAATGTAAATTACTTTAAACAGAAAACTTATACTTCTTTTGTCTTCAATAACATAAATTTAGCTAACAGGTTGCTGTTGGGGCCCAGTTAAAGATCTTCACTTTTGATTAGCTAACATAGCAATTCTTTGAACATTTTATATACAATATATAATTTTGACACATATTAGTTTCAAGAGAAAAAAGAAATTTTAATTAATTAAATAAAAAGGAATAAAGAGGGCCCAGGCCAGTGACATAGTGGTTAAGTTTGCATGCTCCACTTCAGCAGTCCGGGGTTTGCCTGTTTGGATCCTGGGCGCAGACCTACGCACCGCTTATCAAGCCATGCTGTGGCAGGTGTCCCACGTATAAACTAGAGGAAGATGGGCACAGATGTTAGCTCAGGGCCAGTCTTCCTCAGCAAAAAGAGGAGGATTGGCTGTAGTTAGTTCAGGGTTAATCTTTCTCAATTAAAAAAAAAGAATAGAAAAGGAATAAAGATGCCTATTATCATAAAACTACTTGAAAATTAATTTTGAAGATCATTTAAAAATGGATTGATTCATGTCCTATTCTCTCTTTTAGAGTGTTGGTTATAGCTTAGCTTTGCTGGAACCCAGCAGAAATAGTATGGAAAAGCATAGGAAACAAGATGTAAAATAGCAAATGTTTTGGTTGAGGTTATTAATATCCAAAAGGTAAGTAATATTAATAAGAATCTTAACATTCTCCATTTGGTTACCCATTTGATTCCAATATGTATACTTCAGGAATGATATAAATGAGCTCGCCTATTACATTTAGAGATAAAATAACATTCTTTTGAGAGCTCATTTTATGGCTTTGATAGTATACCAAGATATTAAAAGAGAAGTTTTAGCTGAGGAAAAATTCAAAATGAGATGTTAACTCAAGATGTAAAAATTTTCAAAGTAGGTGGCCAAGAATCATTTAGATGATTTCACCCATGTTCAAGTCATAAAATAGTTGGAAACTAGCTATTAGAAAGTGTTTTCCTTTCCCTTGAGAAGGATATTTCATCTGAGACAGTTTTATCATGGATCCTACAACCCTCAGGGTGAGGAGTAGGTGCCAGGGAAGGCTTTAATGGGACCTTGAGAAGCACTTGCTGTTGAACTTGCAAGCTGTGGGACATTGTAGACTAATGTCTAAAGGACCAGAGAGAGACGGACAAGCTGCAATGAAAACAGAGGCCAGGCTCAAAGGCTATATTGGCATCATCCTGAACTTCCAGAGTGTCCAGGAAAATACACGCGGTGGCTTCCCATGGAACAGATGGGAGCTGTGCTCACTCAAAAATGGGATGGCATGAGGTCACCTGACATCCTGTTCAAGAGGGTTGAGTGAAAAGACTTCGCAAATTAACACCTACCTGGCTGAATTGCAATTTGCCTCAGGATAAAGAATCAGAACATACTAGTCAGAAGAGAAATGCAGTCACCCTTATCCAGAAAACTGCAAGGGACAGAACTCCAGAAAGAGGAAATTCCAAAAACTCACAAAGCTGCCTATGAAAGAAAAGTCACTTTTAAGCGTCTGACAAGGCCAGGAAGATGAGAAGTGAGGTCCCTCTGACAATAACAGTAGAGTAGACACTTCTCTGAACTCCTCTCCTTTTCCCTCCTAATTTGACTCTAGAGGGTCATACACTGTGTTTAACAAGCTTAGAGAAGAGAAGGAACGCTAGGTAGAGACAAGAGAGAGGAAGCCTCTGAACATTTCCCTCCTTGGGAGCCCTCCCCCACATGGCATGCCCAGTGGGGACACATGTAGGGAGCAGAGGTTCAATTTTAAGTGAGGTTGGAAGTTTTATT